AGCATCATCATCACCATCACACTCACCGCCCTCATTGTCATCACCGCCCTCGTCGTCGTCATCATCATCATCATCACCCCACCTTCTTCTCCTTCATCTTCATCCTCATCATTACCATCATCACCACCGTGATAATCATCGTCATCGTCATCGTCGTCATCGTCATTGTCGTCATCATCAGCATCGTCATCGTCATCATCGCCATCGACATTGTCATCATCAGCATTGCTGTCGTCGTCATCACTATCATCACCATCGTCATCTTCACCACCATCGTCATCAGACTGATCAGCACCATCCTCAGCATCATGCTCATCAATGCCACCACCATCATCATCGTCGTCGTCGTTGTCACCACCACCACCGCCACCATCATCATCATCATCATCATCATCATCATCACCACCGACACTATCAGCATCAACCTCATCATCATCACCTTCACCATCACCATCACAATCAGCATCATCATCATCATCATCAGCATCACCACCATCAGCATCACAATCATCATCACCAGGACTCTCGCCATCACCATCACCAACATTACAAGCATCATCACCATCATCATCACCATCATCATCACCATCGTCGTCACCAGCATCATCTTCACCATCAACATCGCCGTTATCATCGTCAGCAGCAGCATCAGTATAACCATCACCATCAACATCATCTTCATCATCCACACCATCATCAGCATTACCGTCACCATTATCACAATCCTCATCATCATTCTCAGTTTCATCATGGCTATCATCGTCATGGCCATCTTGATCAGCATCATCATCATTATCATCATCATAGTCGTCGTCGTCATCGTCACCACCACCATCATCATCATCATCATCGTCATCAGCAACGTTATCATCAACCTCATCACCATCCCTTCACCAGCACCATCACCATCACCATCATCATCAGCAGCACCACCACCATCAGCAACACAATCATCAGCACCGTCAATCTCGCCCTCACCATCACCATCATCACAATCATCCTCATCCTCATCACCATCGTCGTCACCATCATCACCATCAACATTGTTGCCATCATCGTCATCAGCATCATCATCATGGTCATCATCATCATCAACATTATCTCCATCATCCATATCATCACCAGTATCATCCTCACCATTATCACAATCCTGATCATTCTCAGTTTCATCATGACTATCTTCGTCATGGCCGTCTTCTTCATCATCATCATCATTTTTAGCATCATCGTTCTCATCATCACAGTCACCATCAACATCATAAGCATCACCACCATCAGCATCACCATCACCATCATCATCACCATACGCACCGTAAGTATCGTCAATCCTGTCATCATCATCACAATCACCGCCATCATTATCATCCACATCCTCTTCCTCATCATCATCATCATCAAACTCAGGTTCATCATCATCATCACTATTACGATCGTCGTCTTCATCATGACGATCATCATCCTCCTCCTCCTGCGCCTCATCCCCATCCTCGTCCTTATCCTTATCACCATCACCATCATCATCATAAGCACCACGATCATCATCATACTCATACTCATACTGATAATCATACTCATACTCATACTCGTACTCATACTCATACTCATCACCATCATCATCATCATCATCATCATCATCATCATCATCATTATCATCATCCTCGCCGTCGTCGTCATCGCCATCGTCACCATCAGCACCAGCAGCACCATATCGAATCACATCGTCATGACCGTCGTCATCCGTATCACCACTATCCTCATCAACACTAGCACTGCTACCACCAGCCTCCTCAGAACTCAAGGCCGATGTCGTTGTTGCTGTTGCTTCTCTTCGCGACGGCGGGTGCTCCGCTCGGGCCTGGGATGCTCCCTCGGTGGGCGTGCTCCGCAGGCGTGAGGGCAGCCAGTGACAATGCAGCAGCAGGACCTCGACGATCGAGGTGATCTCGTCGATCGAGGCTCGATCCCGCCCCTTTGGGCCTGCGGACCACGGCTGAAAAGCATGTGCAATGTAGGGCAAACGCGTGACAAAGGATGTGGATCACCTCCTCCTCCTCCTGCTGCTTCCCGCCCTCCTCCTCCTCCTCTGCCTCCTCCTCCCCCTTCTCCTCCTCCTCCTCCTCCTCCTCCTCCTCCTCCTCCCTCCTCCCTCCTCCCTCCTCCCTCCTCCCTCCTCCCCTTCTCCTCCTCTCCCTCCTCCTCCTCCTCCTCCCCTCCTCCTCCTCCTCCTCCTCCTCCTCCTCCTCCTCCTCTCCTCCTCCCCTCCCCCTCCCCCCCCTCCCTCCACCCCCTCCTCCGCCTCCCTCCCCTCCTCCGCCTCCTCCTCCTCCTCCTCCTCCTCCTCCTCCTCGTCTTCCTCCTCCCCAGAACTGATCGTCCACGACGGCACGCGGCCGCTCTACTTCGTCGGCATTCCCACGAACCTGGCCTGCTGCTTCGTGGTGCCCGTCGCCGCGTTCGACCCCACGGGCGTGTACCTCCCGCCCCTGGTCTACGCCCTGAGGCGGGCGCGCCGTTTCGCTCCCCCGTGGGAGCACCGACAGCCCGCACCCGTGCAGTCAGGACGCTGGAGTTAGGATGGCTTGGGGCTCGGGTTGTGGAGGACGATCGCCTGAGAGGAAGCATGCTGCCAAATTGACGAACCAACAACACACACCCATACCCATAGAGGAGTCGGAGAGGGCTATGGGTGCGTGTTGTTGGATGGGGGTCCCCGCTCGAACGGGAGCGTTCCCCAGGGTCCGACAACCCGCACCCATACCCACAGCCAGTCCTCCTCCCAACGACCCCCCTATGGGTATGGGTGTGTGTGTGTGTTGTTCGTTCGTCACCAGATGTCTAGAACAGGTGTTGACATTTTTACAACAGTCAAAAGCATGTTTTGACCATTCCCAGGACGTTCCCCCGACACTTTCAGCACAGTGTTGATTCGATGCTAGGGCTGTTCAGGTGTCCATCTCGGCCTCGCTCGGAGGCTCCGCCGCTTCCGCCCTCCTCTCTGCCCAAGTCAAGCTTCGCGCGGCCCGCTTAGCTTCGACCAGAAGGGGTGCGCTCTCGACCCGCGGATCAAAAACTGTTAGGGTGTCCATTGTCGTGGCACCCACAAGGGGGAGGAGGGGGGGGGGAGGAGGGGGAGGAGGAGGAGGAGGAGGAGGAGGAGGAGGAGGAGGAGGAGGAGGAGGAGGAGGGAGGGGCTCGGCTTCTCGGGGGCCGCTCCTGCCGGCCAGGCCCGGAAACGCCGAGCGCTGGGCCCGCGAGGCCCGCCGTGGCCGGAGGCGCCCCCTTCGCTCCCCGCCCGGGGGCTCCCCACGGCGGCCTCGGCCTCGCTCGGGCGTGTGCACGTTTTTTCCTTCGGGGAGGACCCTCGATCTGGACGCCCGAGATGGGCACGGAAAGTACGGGTACGATGCCCAACAGCAGTTCCTGTTCATTCTGAACAGGATTCGCTGTCCGCGCCGCCGCGGCCTGTGTCCATTCGAGACAGAAGGCCGCCCGCCCAACAGCGGCCGCTGTTGGTTTGGGACTACATTTGTTGTTGGGCATTGTACCCATTCTTTCGGTACCCATTTCGGGTGTCCAAACTCGAGGAGCGTCCTGGCTCATGTGTCGGTGGTGGATAGACCCCCTACCCTGACACGTCGATTAATAAGGAGTTGGCCGTTCTCGGTTCGCGAGGGGGCGCCGCGGCCGTCATTTTTTGCGGGTCCAGGTCCGTCGAATTCGGTCCCAGGCCGTTTTCACGGAGGGGAGGTTTACGAAAGGGAGGTTTGTCCACCGCCGGTCTTCGCCCGGTGGCTCCTCACGGCGGCCTTGGCATCGCTCGGACGTGTGCACTGTTTCCTTCGGCGAGGACCATCGAGGAGCATCCTTGCTCCTGCTGCTGCTCCTCTTCCTTTTTCCTTGAATTACTCTGGTAAGCACCCGAGACTTGCTCGTGTCCAGGTCGAGCCGTCTTCCCTTCGTGACTAACCATGCGGGCCTCACGTTGGTGACAAAAACAAATCCGTGCTCATTTGGCGAAGCAGCCATGCACGAAACCGAACAAAAGCACAGGGACTGGACGTCCGAGCGATGGCGAGCGGCAGGGACGACCTGCTCCACACTCGTGCGCCAATCCTGCCCAGCCCGATCTCTTGGGTTCACTCGGCGGCGAGCGCGAGGGGGGGGGGAAGCGAGAAGGAGAGAAGGCCCTCTCGGAAGGCGGCGGGGCTCCTCAGAGGCGCTCCGGCCCCCCGAGAGGTTCTCTCTGTGATCTCGGGGCAGGCTCCGAGAACTGCTCGGGAGGCCCGAAGCCTTCCCTTCCGGACCCTCTGAGAAAGCCCGCCCCCTCTCACTGCCGACGCCGACGAGCGGTGTGTGCGCGAAGGTCGCCTGTCTGGGGCGCAAGGCAGGCCCTGCCATGATGTGTGCGATCCGGCGGGCCGTCGGCGAGGACGGCTCGGAGAGCGAGGGGTCGGGCCGTCGGGTGTGCGCGGGTCGAGCGGGGGGCAGGCGGGGGCCAGCGGCGGAGGAGGAGCAGGGAGGGTGAGGAGGAAAAGGCGGGGGGTGACGCGGAGGGAGGGAGGGAGGGAGGGAGGGAGGGAGGGAGGGAGGGAGGGAGGGAGGGAGGAGGAGGAGGAGGAGGAGGAGGAGGAGGAGGAGGAGTGTCTTTGGAGGCTACAGAGGTGTTCAAGACGGTGCCATTCCCTCGTCCCTCCTCTCCCCCGTCCTTCTCCCTCCCTCCCTCCCTCCCTCCTCCTTCCTCGCTCCTCGCTCCTCGCCCTTCCCTCCGTCCTCCTCCCTCGTCCCTCGCTCCTTTCCTCCGTCTTCTCTTTGCCTGCTGTTCTCCTCTGCTGATCCCCGCTGGCTCACAAGACTCTTCTCCAGGTGGCCCCTTTGGGGGCTTCCCGTCAGCCATACGCGGGTGGCTCTGCCATGGGAGGGCGGTGGAGGGAGGAGGAGGAGGAGGAGGAGGAGGAGGAGGAGGAGGAGGAGGAGGAGGAGGAAGGAGGAGGAGGAGGAGGAGGAGGAGGAGGAGGAGGAGGAGGAGGAGGAGGAGGAGGAGGAGGAGGAGGAGGAGGAGGAGGAGGAGGAGGAGGAGGAGGAGGAGGAGGAGGAGGAGGAGGAGGAGGAGTGGGGAGGAGGAGGAGGAGGAGGAGGAGGAGGACCAGTGTAAACCCAAGAGTCACCAGTGATGTTGGAATAAGCCCTCCCCCCCAAGCTCCCTCGTCATAGGCCCCTACAACGGTTCATTTCCACAGAGGGACTTGCCTCGTTGGATGAGAACCGTTTGAAGACCCTGAATCATGCCAACACATTATTCTCGGTCTCCCAACGCCACGGATGAACCTGATTGTTGCGTCTTGACGATCCTGACTCGCGCCAGAACGCCATTCCTGGGACTCCAACTCCGTGAATCATCGTAGCTGTTGCGCCCTCATAATCGTGAATCCTTCCAAAACGCAACTTCTGGTACGTCGATCATGGGAACCCGTGAAACTCGTGCAGTTCATTGGCAAGAATGCGCGCGGCGCTAAGGCGATAGCCACATTTTGAAGACGACCCGCCCTCACTCCGTGAAGCTCTTGCAAGTTTTGAGAACGAGTGTGCGTGGCGCTAAGGCGAGAGCCACATTTCGAAGACGACCCGAAGCTCTTGCACATTTTGAAAACCAATGAGCGCGGCGCCAAGGCGAGAGCTACATTCTGAAAACCACCCGCCCTCAATCCGTGAATCTTTTCAAATTTTGAAAACGAATGTGCGCGGCGCTACGGCGAGAGCCACATTTTGAAAACGACCCGCCCTCCATCTGTGAAGCTGTTGCCAATTTTTAAGGTTCAGGGTCATCAGTGGTGAGGAAGTCTCAAGCGAAATTGGAGGGAGGTGTTAGGGCGTTTTTTTGCAGAGGAATCAGCCACGAACCTTTCAGTGAGTTTTCGGGGGGGGGTGAGGTCTTTGGGGCCATGCAAACGCTTCCCAGAAACCTTCCCGAGGAAGGCCATTTTCGGAAGGCTATTTGAGGGGGGTCCTGCAGAACCCTTCAAGAACCTTGCTGCAGAAGGTTGTGGTGGGGTGTTAAGGGGGGCCCTCCAAAGACCTTCCAAAACCCTTCTCGGGGGAGGTTTCTGGTGGATTTCTAGTGAGAATCCACCCAAAACCAAACGCCCTCTGCAACCTTTTCGAGAGAGGCTTTAGACAGGTTTTTATTATAGGAGGAATCTTCCAACAACCTTTCATAAACCTCCCTGGGGAAGGTTGTGTCTGGATTTTAAGAGGAATCCCAAGCGACCTTCCAAGCGCCATCCTGATAACCTTCCCGGTGAAGATTTTAAGGGGGTTTTCAGAAAGGCGCCCCCGACAACCTTCCAACAACTTTTGATACAGTTTTTTCTTGCTTTTCTCTTTGAACAGAAATCCACCAACAAGTCGGCGAAAACATTCCCGAGGAAGGTTTTAGGTATCTTGTTTCAAGAGGAACCCTTAAACAATCTCCCAGGAACCTCCCCGAGTGAGGTTTTGGGGTGGTTTTGCTCTACAATGTCTTCCAACAACCTTCCTGGGGAGGTTCCCAGGAAGGTCTTCAGGGGGAATCCGCCAAACGCCTCCCGAAAACCTCGCCGAGGAAGGCTTTGGGCCCCCCGAAGCCTTGCAACTACCTTCCGAGACAATCTGCCGAAAACCCTCTTGTGGGAGGTCTGAGGAAGGCTTTGACGGGGAATCCTCCAACGGCCGCCCAAATCCCGCGTGCTTCCCTCTGGGGAAGTGTTTAGAGGGCTTCCCAAAACAACGCATCAAACGCCTGCCTCGGGAAGGTTTTTGTTGGTAGGGGACCACATGTGAACCCTACCCCTACCCCCCACGATTTTTGAGGGGAGGGTGGGGTTCACTTCGCTCGGGAGCTCCCGAGCGAAGTGAACCCCACCCTCCCCCTCGGAAATCGTGGGGGGTAGGGGTAGGGTTCACATGTGGCCCCCTAGTTGGCGGTTTTCGGACACATTCTCCCGCGGCGCTTTTCAAAGGCCTTCCTCGTGGAAGTGGTTGAAGGTTTCCCGCTGGCGCGCCTCGCGGCCTTAATCGCGGGGAGGTTTCGGAGGGACCCTTCCGGCAGAAGGCGTCCAACAACGTTCCCCGGGAAGGTTTGGGGCGTTTGGGGGTTTCTTCCAACGATCGGGGGCGGAAAAGAGGGGGGTGATGACTAGGGGGGGGTGGATCTCATGGCGCGGGCCATGATATTTCCCCAGATTTCATGGCGCCTCTTCTTATTTCATTACGTCCCTGGCCCCCCCGCTGGGCCGCGCACATGCCGCCGGTCATGATTTGCACCCCCCCCCCTCTTGGACACCCCCCTCTTGGCCGCTCCCGAGTTTGGGGGCTTCTTCCAACGGCCCGTTCGAGAACGTGTCTCGGGCTTCCTTTTGGCGGGCGCGTGGCGAACTTGCCCTGCGACGTGCCTGGCCCGTCGGCTTCGGGGGGTGACATCGGGCGTGCCGACGATAGCGCGGCGGCAACATGACAAGAGACGGT